TTGGTAGACAACTGAAAGAAAAGGAACAAAAAACCTAGGGTCTAGGGAAACAACAGTGGAAATGAGAAACCGTGCAGGCTGACTAGGGTGGGAAATGGAGGAAGGAGGAGTGGTCTGGGGACCTCGAATTGGCCATCACAAGGATGATGCTGGGGATTTAGCTCAGGGGCACAAGCGCCTGCCTGGCAAGCGCGGGGTTGGGAGTTTGACCCCCGGTACCAGAAGAAAACACTATGATGGCAGCAGCTGAAGGAGGCTGGAGGGTGGAAATAGGGCAGTGTAGTCAGAGTACGCTGTTGTCTGGGATACTTACCGCTGATCACAGCGCCAGACACTCAACACTTGAGAGAGTTTGTCCGGACTTACTCTTCACTACATGGTCTGCTGTCTCCAAGGTGGGACCCCACGGCACAGGGCACAGGGGAGGAAAAGCTGTTCACATTGCTGCATCCAGAAAGCAGACAGTTGGGGACAAGCTGGGGAGGACACGGCACCCTCCCAAGTCACAGCCTGTCTGGGACATTGCACTTAGCTATAGCACCTCCAGGACTCATGTCCAGGATTCAGTCGTGTTAAAACTCCGCCTATGCGCACAGCAGACTTGAGGAGGACATTGGGGTATAAAGCCTAACAGAGGCTGGAGTTAATGTTACGTAGCTGGAGTAGCATTGCCCATAGCCAGCTCCAAGGGTGCAGCCAGCCCTGTGAGCAGATGGCTGAAGGGGCAAAGGGAAGTCTTGTCCAAGGCTACAGGGTGAGGAACAGACCCTTCTGTTGAATGTGAACTTACACATGGTGGAGTGGAATCCTTCTATGGATAGGTGCAGGGTAGCCCTGCTGGTTACCTGGAGCCTCCCTGAACAGGGTTTCTGGGGCCATAGAGAGGAACAGTGGGGAGCAGTAGTGGGGCATGGGTCCCTGTGGAGGGCAGGTGGCCTCCGATCTTGACTGAGCGGAGGATGAGTGGCTTCCTTGCAGAAGGTGTGGGGGCCTTTGGGCCCTGGAATTCACACTGCAGATATGTGGAAAGGAGACAGAGTATTCTAGGGGAAGAAGGCCAGTTACTAGGGCGAAGATGAGTAAGGGGAACGTCTATGTGCATTTTTTTGAGACAGAGTCTCACTATGTAGCCTGGGCTGGCATTGAATTTGTGAGATCCTTCTGCCTTTGCTTCAGTTAATAGGCATGTCCATTCTGCCCGGCAGGAGTTTTATATTTTGGACAATAACTGGGGAAGTGGTTCCATGAGGTGTTGATGAGTGCGATTCTGGTACAGTCACAGTATAGCAAAAGACCAGAATTTGTGATTTATGATCGTCGGAGTGAATGGCAGCATTGGGGAGCAGCCACTGAGCTACTTGGTTCACTGGGCTTGATAAATACAAACCATACTGTCTCTCAGGTAACATTCTTGGGACCTCAGGACAATAGCTTTCTCAGAAACAATTCAGTGTCAGCAATACTTGCTCAGAAAGGGAGCTGTAGGAATACAGTGGCCCTTGAATTCAGGACCACTGGTTCACCAAGTAGTGGCCCAGCAAGGAGGGGACCCCCATTTCCTCATTCAGAGGCTCCAGGCTTCATGGTATCCTAGGTCGCCTGGATTTTTTTTTGGGGGGGGGGGATTCTGGGGTTTTTTTTCCTTTAGGTTGTTTTTGGAGGACTCTCTCTCTCTCCTCCCTCTCTCTTTCTTCTCAGACCAGGTCGTGCTATCTAGTCCAGGCAAGCCTTGAACTTACTAGGTCTCCCAGGCTGGCTTCAAACTCATGGTGATCCTCCAGCCTCAACCTCCCGAGTGCAGGTTGTGCCACCATGTCTTGCAGAATGGGAATCTTCATTTTTAAAAACAAATAATTCACTTAATTCTGATGTAGGTTGTCCAACAATCATGCTTAGAGAACTCAAGGACCATCTAGTCAATGAATTCCTTAGGAGAAGGACCACAAGGCACCCATTTGTGTGTTGGGAGAGCCAATTATGTAGAAGGTGGTAACTAAAGGTTTCAAAAATGAGTAGATTGCATGTAATTTTGAGTTGAGACTCGAGTTAATTAAAAGATTTTTTTTTTTTGTACCAGGAGTCAAACTTAGGACCTTGAGTTTGTCAGGCAGGTGCTGTGCTGCTGAGCTGTGTCCCCAGCCCCAAGAGGCCTTTAGGTAATGAGATGTACAAAATAGTGGAGCCCTGTGGTGGATTAAGAACTGGTGGTCAACTGACACCTACCTGAATTAAATCAGTGTGGAGCTGCCTGTTGATAGCCCTCCTACGGATTGTTGCCAACATAAAAGGGAAAACTGGTGAGGAAAAAGTAGTATTGTTCATTCTTGTAGGTGTTGGTTCTCCTAGGTGTTGTTTGCTGTCCTGTCGGAGCTTGTCGGGGCTTCTTTTCTGATACGAACTGAACTGTTATTGTCAGAGGAACTCAGGACCTTGTTGTTACTGAGAGTGGCTGTGGTTCACTTTTGGGGAGCTTTGGTTTTTTGATCATCTTTTCTGGACTCCATATGGGAAGATGTGTGCTGTTCAGTCTCCAAGAGAAGCTTGTCATGCTGGCTTCCTGATATGAACTTGGCTGTTCTCATCGTTGGAGGAGCTTGGAACTGGCTGTGGTACTTTTCAGGGGAGCCCTGGTCCTTCCTTGAGCCTCACTTCCTGGCTCCAGTGCAGAACCCTCAGCCTACTGGTGTAGATCCTTCAACCTGCTGGTATAGACTTTTTGGCCTCCACCGCTGACCTGTGGGCCTTCCCAGCACAGATCCGTGAAACAGACTTGCATAAGACATTCTCATGGGCTCTAGGTCTTCAGTTGGACTCAGGCAGGATGCTGCCATGGCATCTGGGCCCTTAGCTGGATTCTTTGGGGTCTTTAGTGTATGGACAGATTTCCCAAATGTTCTGTGTTTGACTCTTTGGGTGACTGTTATACATGATTCTATAAATTATGTGTCCGGAGTTAAATTGTTTTCCTTGCAATCCCTGCCAACAACAGGCACACTTTGTGGGAAGAAGGGTTTGGTGGTCAGATGCTTTTGGGAAAGGCTGCCTCTGGGATCTTCACTCTTGACCCTTCTCAAGTTTCACTAGCATGCTGATACTTTGGTGATGTCCATGGAAACAAACGAAACTCAAGTCTCAGATGTTTAAAATGTTTTAAAAAACCATTTCCATATGCCGTCTTCCCTTCTCATATCCCACAAAACTCATGTTCTGTGAGATTCTTTGGGATCTGCTCACATAAGCAAAGGTAGAGATAGAGACCTAGTCCTTTATGGATACTGATAACTTGTACCTACAGAGAATTGGAAAGATAAAAGGATTGGAGAATGTTAGGGGAATAGTATTTTTCTGTAGGAAGCTCTGGGTATTAATTTTGGTATAGTTGCTCTAAATCATCATGGTCAGAAGTATTAAGTGACTTTCTGAATAGACTATAAAATATTTGAGAAGAAATGTATGGATCTAGGAAATGGCTGTGGAAATGCGTAAGAAGAGATGTTAATTAAAAGATAGCAAATGAAGGATTGTAGGATCTGATTACTAAGTGTAGAAAAGACAATCGGGACTTTTTATTCAAGGTCAAATGGGTTGTGTACTCTAGACCCATTTTTAGGCCGGTAAAGTGAACAAAACACCTTGTAGTTTTGACATTTGAGAAGATACATAATAGAAGGGAGTAATTCTTTATTTTGTTTGCATTTTATATCTCCTCTCCCTTATTTGTAGTGCTGGGGCCTCATACTGAGCCACGTCTTCAGCCCTTTTTTAATTTTTAGGAAGAATCTCACAGTTCTACAAGTTGCCGGGCTGGGCTCAAGCTTGGCATTTTCTTGCCTCAGCTGCCCAGAGTACTGGGTTATAAATGTGTACCACCAGGTCTGACTATCTTTTCTCTCTGTCTCTTTAGTGGTCTTTGGGTTTGTTTGTTTGTTTTTGTTTTTGTTGGTTTTTTTGGGTGTTTTTGAGACAGTCTTGCTCTATAATTCAGACTGGCCTCAAACTCATGATAATCCTCCTTCCTCAGCTTCCTGAGTCATGTAATTACAGGCATGTGTCACCATGCCTGACCTTATATTTTCTCTTAGTTGAATAAAATTTATTATAATGGGTTTACTTTCTAGAAAAATTCCACGTAGAAACCATTAACTTAAATTGAGTTCGGAAGCAAACTGAAGTGTCTTGGAAATACTAGATTCTTTTTCTTTTTTGGCTTTTTCGTTTTTACTGGTACCAGGGATTGAACTCAGGACCACACACTTGCAAGGCAGGCAGGCGCTTATGCCACTGAGCTGAGCTAAATCCCCAGCCCTTAATACTAGATTCTTGAAAAGAAAAATTAAATTCTCTTTAAATAATTGGGGAACTAGAAGAAAGTGTTTAACCTTTATAATTCAGTTTGGGAGCTTGTTTGTCAGAAACTTTCAAGTAGTAACATAGCAATACATTATTATATCATGCACATGTAATTTATGTGATTGAAGAATTTTCCCATACCATACCATAATATAAAGCAGTTATACTAGGTAAAGAGAATCATAGACATACTTTTCATATAAAATAAAAAACCTAATTTTCTTAATCATACTGATCATAATATTTAAAATAATTATCAAGGAAGCTTTCTGATAGGATTATTTGAAGTTTTATTTGTCAGATAGGGTTCACTATGTAGTTCAGGCCAGCCTTAAACTCACAGCAACCCTCCTGCTTAAGCTTCCCAAGTGCTAGGATTACAGGCATGCACCACCATGCCTGGCTGTTTCAAGCTTTAAAATCAGCATGTTCTTGTAAAGTATTTTGTAGTGCTCCACTGGTAATGCTTACATCCAGTGAGCAGAGAATGTTCCTCCAGTCTTGAGAGCTTGGACTCTGCTACTGAGCCCAAAAATAAAAACAGTAACTGTGAGAAATGAGTGTCAGAAAGCAAGGAACAAGCAAAATTCACTGCTTCCAGCTAATTCAGATGAGGTTTTAATTCTTCCTCCTCTTTACTGTCTTTTCAGACAAATGGCCATGGAAACAGTTGACTCCCAGCAGGATGGAAGTGTACCAGGTTCTATAGCGGGGAGCAGCTCTGCCCATTTGCACACTCGGCTTGGGCACACTCCAGTGCCCACTGTAGTTCAGGTAGGCGCAGGCAGGCAGGGAGGACAGTTTACATAGGTGGAAGTGAAAGTTAAACGCTGTTTCCTCCAAGGGGATGTTACATTTCCATCTTCCCTGGTGGCCAGCCATTCCACCAATTTGCTTTGGAAGATGCGTACTCTACTTACTTTGCAAGGCTTTCGACAGGCACGTGTTAATACCCCCACCACTGCCACCACCGCAGGGAAGAAGAATGAAAGTAACCACAGCCACCTAGCTCTAGAGCAGTCTGAGCAGCCTCAACTTCCGAAGTGACATGGTTCTATTATTCTTAGCTGTCAAGACAGCAGAAGCTGTAACTATTTCCTAGTGTGTACTTAGCTTGCTTCTTACTTTTTCAGTTGGCTCTTCAAATTTGAATTAGTTAGCCGGGCTTGGTGGCTTACGCCTGTAATCCCAGCACATGGGAGGCTGAGGTGGTAGGATCGCTGCGAGTTCGAGACCAGCCTGGGCTACAGAGTAAGCTCAAGGCCAGCATGAACTGCATAGCGAGACCCCCTCTTCCCCCGTCTCAAAAAAGACAAAAAAAAAAAAAAAAAAAAAAAAAATTGAATTGGTTTCATTGAGAGACTGCCAGTATCAGTTAGTTCCCGGTTTTCAGCTCAAACTAACCCCTGAGATGTCTATAAAAGTATAGAGTGAAACAAACACATTTGTGTGTTAATTAGCCTCTCAGCTCCTTCCTGAATCCGTACTGTCTGAGTGCACATGGGCGTGTAGCTCCTGACCTTAAGGATCTCAGGGTGTAAGCAGGCAACAGATACCCTAAGGAAAGTCAGGTAGCATGTGGAGTGCTGTGAAATGCTCCGTGCCAGTCAGTGAGGCACACAGAGCAGGAAGTGGCCAGGGTTTTCCTCTGAGTGTGGGCTCTGGGTGGCCGGGCGGCAGAGACTTGTTCCCGTGTGTCCAGAGCCTTGTGTCTGCTCTGGGCACTGTAGCTGGCAAAAGGGAGCAGAGCTGCTGGCGTTTGGCCACTGTTCCTCCTTTTCAGCGATCCAAACAGCCCGCTGTGGTCCATGAGCTGCAGATTGGCCACCTCTGGTTTGGATATGCTGCGTTCTCACGGTGGGAGCAGGGTCAGCAGTGTGGGGGTGCTGGCGGCACCTGCAGTGTGCAGCTCAGAGCAACCCTGGGCCTGGGGCAGGCTGAGGAGGAGCCTGGGGAGCCAGGGCACTGGCCCTGGTTTGCCCAAAGCCAGCCTGGTTATATGAGTTTCTTTTTTCCCAAGACAGGGACCAGCTCCCCTGCCTGCTGTCAGCACCCCAGTGTCCTCCTAGCTCCCCTGAGGGCTGTGGGGAACCATCTCTCCAGAGCACGCCCTGCGGCACAGAACCTTTGCCTCCACGAATGCAAACACAACATTCTTCTTGGTAAAAAATGCATTTTTTTGTAGAAAATTAACAAGGCAAATATTATTAAAAAGAACATAAAAATTACCCATCATTTTAACACCCAGCGCTTTAGCTGTGTGACATTTAGGTATTGGGTCCTTCCTGCTTTTTGTCTGTGAGACTAGAATAGAAAAGAATAGAGAACTTTTCTTTCCATGAATTTGGACCCTCCTGAGTTTCTTTCTTCTTAGCCCTTAATTCTGCCTTTCCTTGCTGAAGGTGTAGTTGAAAGCAGACCTTATGGGCTAGGGATTTAGCTCAGCGGCATAAGCGCCTGCCTTGCAAGCAGGCAGTTGTGAGTTTGATCCCTGGTACCAATAAAAACGAAAAAGACAAAAAAAAAAAAAAAAAAGGAAGCAGACCTTCCCCGACTTCCAGGCCAGCATAGCCAGGCTGCTCTTTGGTTCAAGGCCCTGGGGCAGCAGCCCGCACCCCCAGGGTCAGTGAGAGTTGCCAAGAGTTGCCAAGGTCATTGGAAGCTGGAAGCAGCCTAGTCCACTGCACAGAAACTACTTTTCAACAAATTAGACCATAAGACAAAGGAAGCAGAAATGGAAAGTATAGGTTTTTCTGGAAATTTATCTATGAAATAAATAAGAAAGATGACCTAGTGAGACAGAGAAAGGGGATCTGGGATGTGGGAAAATTGGGAATGTTTGGACAAAACAGATGTGGCAGCCAGATATGGTGGTGCTCGCCAATACTCCGGGAGGCTGAGGCAGAAGGATGGCAAGTTAAAGACAGCCTGGGCAATTTACCAAGACTGAGTCTCCAATGAGTAAATGAACAAAGGGGCTGGTAATGTCGCTCAGTATGAAGACCCTGAGTTCAGTTCCTAGCACTTAGGAAAAAAAAACACAGCACAACAAAACCGAATAAAACCGAAACGCAAAGAAAATAGAGATACACAGGAAGTCTCAAATACATCAAATGCTGATAATTACTAAACCTGTATGGCAAGTTTGTAGATTTTATTTTTTCTCTCTCTATAAAGCATTTAATAAAAAATAAACTTTGGTTTTTGTTTTATATTACTAGAAATCAAAGAAATTAAAAAAGAATTGGTATCCTATTTCATGGGTTATTTGAGTTAACTAAAAACTGCCCTCTATGCTGTGTATAAATCATTTTTTTTTCAAACTTTCAGATCATGTTTTTTTTTAACAATTTGATCACAATGCTTAGCAGTCAAAATTGTATGCATATAATTATGAATTTAGATTTTTTGTTTTTGCTCTCCTTTCATTTATCTTCATTAGTATGTAAAGTTTGCATCCATTGTGGGAGTTTGTACATGTATGTAACACGTTTTGTTGGTTGTTTTTTTTTTTTTTGGTACTGAGAGTCAAACTCAGGACCTTGTGTTTGCCAGGCAGTCACTTGTACCGCTGAGCCATATCTCCAGCCCTGAATTTAGATTCTTTAAGTGAAGCTGTTCATTTACAAGTATTTGTTCAGTGATGCTATATATTTTTTGAAATATTAGGATATCAAGCTGAAATCTTTATGAATTCTATCATATATACCAAAAGTAACAAATTCATTTAAATAATTCTTTTTTAAAATTTTATTTATTTACTTACTTACTTTGGCTCTTTAGACAGGTTCTTGTTGTGTAGTGCAGGTGGCCCTGAACTCACTAGGTAGCCCAGGCTGCTCTCAAACACCCAGAAGTTCTCCTACCTTAGCCTCCAGTGTGCTAGGAACATAGTTGTGTGTCAGTACACCTGGAAACTTGTGTTTTAAGTGGTATCTTTCTCATCTGTTACTCCAAAGTCAGAGGTGATAATACCAAAACATTGCAAGCAAAAGTTACTATCAACAAGCACTGAATAGCAGATAACTGAGGATTAAATATTGTGATCTGGTTTTCTTCTTGCCTGAATTTTAAAAAATTTATTTACTTTCTATTTTCAGATACTCATTACGCAGTTCAGGCTGGTCTCAAATTCACAGCAGTCCTGCCTTAGCTCTTCTAGTGCTGGGACTACTGGCATGTACCGCCATGCTTGGCTTGCTTAAATTATTTTATGTTAATTAATTGGTTTATTTTTTTGTGGTATTGGAGATTGAACTAGGACCTTATACATGCTAGGAGGCAAGTGTTCTGCCACATCTCTAACCTTATTTATTTATTTATTTATCTCAAATGAGCATCCTACAATCTAGTTCAGGCTGACCTTGAACTATGTTGCCTAGGTTATCCCAAAACTGGCCAGATCCTCCTGCCTCAGCATCCCAAGTTCTGGGATTTCAGGCACGCACTACTATGTCTGGTTGAAAATTTTACTTTGAGAAAGGTCTGCAAGTTTGCCAAGCTGCCCTCAAACCTGAGATTTCAGGTATGTGCCCTTGAGCTTGGCTTACGTGTTGACTTTTCTTTAAACTGGAGTTGATGTCTTGTCGATGAGGGATATGTTTTGATATGTAAGACTAAGATTCCATCCAACCCTGGAATAATGCTTGATAGCAAATTACAGTCTGTTTTGTTTTTTACTTTGTTTTTTGCTGTGCAGAGGCTTGGACCGAGGACCTCAGGCTTGCTAGACACATTGCCATGCTGCTGAGCTACATATCCAGTCCAGCCTAGAGTCTATTTTAAAAACCAGCCCAGGAAAAAATGTTCCAAAACCCAAAATGGTGTAAAACAAAAATACTGTGTGCCCAAGTGTTTTAAAATAGTTATACTGACATCCTCTAGAAATAATATTTAAATGGATAAGTAATTGGAAGTCAAAACTTTTCTCATTGTGGAAGATTTCAAAGAGTAAAATAATGATCCCACCCATGTAAACTTACCAAGATTTTGTACCATTTGCATTTCTTTCCCCCTCCCCCTCCCATCCCTCCCCACCCCATCCCTTACCCCCTTCCCCATCTCACCTCCCTTCTTCCTCCCTCCCCCCTTCCCCACCTCCCTTCTCCACCCCTCGCTCCCTCCCTGCCTCCTTCCCTCCCCCCCTTCCCCACCCCCCATTTCCTCCTCTTTTTGGTGAAATATTTTGAGGAGCTTTGCAGATCTCAACATCCTGTCATTATTCCTACTTGCCTCTGTTGATGCAGCACCTCCGGACATTTCTTATGAAATAAAATGTCATCGTAATTCGTGAAATCAACTCCCGTTCCTGTAATACACAGGTTTCCTCACCTATCTCACAGATACAGGGTTCACTCAGGGTGGTGACGACACCCCGAACTTGCCTATTACGTGTCCTTTTTTTTTTGTATCTGGAATAGAACTTAAGACCTTGGGCTTGCCAGGCAGGCGCTTCACCACTGAGCTGTATTTCCAGGTTCTCCCCGACACACACACATCCCGTTTTTGCAGAGTGAAATCTCGGTGTGGTCCAAATCCGGACACCTGAAGTAAACAGATGCAGCAGTTGGCTTGCTTTTTCTCTGTGACAGCGCTCCTGGCACGCGTGACTTCAACGCGGGGCGGGGGGTGGGGTGGGGAACACCTCGAAGGAGGCCGAATGCAGCCCTGAGAACTACCCGGAGGTCCCGAGGCGCAGCGCAGCGCCGCGCCTGGAGAGAGATGGTTCTGCTCACTGAACTGCTGCCCAGGAGGCAGAGCTGCCCAGAGGAGCT